TGCATGATCTATTAGAATGCGTATGTGTATATGAAATTAATAACATTTTGCATTACTATATCATGGAAAAAAATATTTCACATTAGAAACCTTGAATTGGCGTCTAAGTTTTTTAATTTTGGTCCCATAGTGTCGTGCCCCGTGTTGCCGGGACGCGAAAAGAGTTCGGAATCGGTGTTGCGGCGCGGCAGAGTGTGTGGCGGTGAGTAGGATTTAGTAAAAGTTTGTAGCCACTAATTGTATTATATATAAAAAGGCTTTATTTATAAATCGTACTTAGACGTGTTTAATTATTACTCCCGAGATCTTATAGTAATGCGCAAAATGCGCGTCGGGTACGCACGTCGCGGGCGAGAGACTGAGGTGCTAAGTCTATGGCGGGCGGTCTTCTCAGCTCTTTTATAATATTGTGTAGTCTTGTCGGAGGGGGCCTGGCGACAAGGAGATTACCATATTTGGTAATTATTTGGTATGGTTCGGCTCGAAGTCCGAAATGCAGAATGTGCAAGGTGATGCTTAGCGCAGCAGTTGCACATCCGCTTCCTCGTTGTAGCGCAGTCGAAACGGTTCCTCCTGAAGCGTTCCGACGGCGCTAATACTGTTCGCGATTATAACAATAGCAAACCGACCTCCTACAATATCAAAATCACAATTATTAAAAAAAAAAAATTAAAAATGTCTGCTTCTGAAATGCTTAGTTTCGTATTAAACATTGGCTTAATTTTTGATAACTAATTTTGATGACAAATAGTGGGAATTTTACATATTGTTGCGAAAAATCCTTCTTATAACGGTTGAAGATAGTGTTACAGAATCAACAGCAGATCTATTATGGAACTTAATTTATGAACATCATATACTATATATCGACTTATTCGGCGAAACTTTGAAACCGAAACATCATCTAATGTTACACTATCCACGGATTATGAAAATTGTTGAACCTCTCTCTTCTCTCTGGTCAATGAGGTTTGAAGCGAAACATCTCCCTTTGAAACAATATGCACGTACAATTACCAGTAGACTTAT